CATCCACACTGTGAGGTATCACAAGGAGAGCTTTATGGAACCTGCAGTCCAGAGAGTCTGGGACATTTGTCAGGTAAATAAAGCAAATGCAAATACAGATGTGGTATCTCTGGTGGGCCAGCTGTGCAGTTTTGATCTTCTCCTGCAGTCCCAAACATTACAGGAAGCTTTTGATAACATTTGACATAGTTGTCTTTTGGTTTGGTTTTTCTAATTTTGTATTTATTTATGATGGGGCTGAAGGCAGTAAGAGAGATGGCTGAATTTATAAAAATTGCTTGGTTCGAAAGGTTTTTTCCAGCGTGTACTAGGTAAAGAAAGGGAGTTATTGGCGTCTATTTACATTTAGAGGTCACACCTTTGACATGTAGCTGTGTGGGGGTTTTTTTGGTTTTTTTTTGTTTTTTTTTTCCAGTGGGATGAAAACTCTGTGTGTGAAATTTGCAGGTTTCATTGCACCACTGGAAAAATTATAGGGACTGATGAATAAAAAGCATCAAATCTCCACAGTGATAGACCAAATGGTTACCAATGGTAACCAGATGATTTCCTTATCCCTTAATCTTAACTAAAAATCCAATCACAGTAAGCTTGTGCCATAATGGGAAGGTGATTTTGTACCTGTTTTCCTGGTATTAATTTAAGGGCTGGATAGTAGTAGTAAACTTTGCCAACACAGGTTTAATTTTTAAGTCTCCTTTCTCTCCTCCTGTAGTTTGCTGCCAGGTATCTCTTTAGAGACTTTTTCCTCTCCATTTCACTGATGAATTTTAAGATCTGTAGCAACCTGAGTGTATTCATTCTCTGGCTGTCTCTGGCTTAACACTTTGCCTGGCCCAGCAAGAATGAGTGCTCTCTCACACAGGAGGTTTCCAGCTCAGGAGATGACTCAATGCTAGAAAATTAATTCTGGGCTCTATACCCTGTCCAGAACTCTGGGGAGGAGAATCATTGGTGGGCAAAAGTAAAGTATTTTTCCTAGTATTTCTGAGGAAGTACTTGTCTATATTTTTTGTGTTATCTACCTTTTAATCTAAAAGTAAAGCATTATCTGGTCTGATTGATCCCCCCGTTGTTCAACAGTCATGAAGATATTATGTTGTAGAGCTTATTTTAGAGAAAGAAGCTGTGATCTTAGTTAATTTTGCATCATCTATGCACCAAAACTCATATTGTATTTCTCTAAACCCCGCAGAGAGCTGAGGTGGGAGAAACTGCAGCAACTAACAAGGCTGATGCTTGTGGAGCAGGGTTGCATCCACCTGGGGAGTGTGAATGCAGAATGGGAGGCTCCAAGAGCCTTGGGAACCACTGTGGTTGGTGACTGACTGCAGTCACAACTTTTCACTGCAGTTAAGTTCAAAAGAGCACTACTTGACATTTCCCATAGATACTGAGCAGTGGCCTAGCAACAGATGGCAGAAATACAAGGGTGTATGTGTAGAGAGGATTTGAGAGAGGATTGACATTGAGAGGATTATTTTGATGAATAATTTATTACAAAGTATATTCCTCTGCAAGCTGGCAGCTCACCTCAGTGATGTTGCTTCAGGAACCAAATATTAAACCACATAATGAACAACACCTGCCTTAAATATCAGGATTTTTGAAACCTGGATTAAAAGCACCTTACTGCAAGACATCAGTCTTGGTTTCTCTAGGCTTCTTGGTAACATAGTTCAGATGGGTATCTGTTTTCTTCTATTGTTCTGCAATTGCAAGCATGTTTGACCTGCCATTTCAGAACATCAAATAAAAGAAATACCATCATGATTTCTGGAAAAAAATGTCATACAAAAAGATCAGACCACTGCTTAGACATCTGTGGGAGAGCAGGACCACCAGCAACGAAAAGCAAATACCCAGACTAAATGGAAGCGGAAAGCATGTTCCTTTATACCCTTCTCCCCAGCCTGAAGTGCAGCTACAAGTCACTCACCTGATTCTAGCTCCATTCTCATGAAATCAATGCTGGTTTGGCAGAGTGACATTTGACTTTTAGTGTTATGTGATTTAGAAGGACAATTATTCTTTAGTTCAAAATGTCTGTAATACTTCCAGTGCTGCTAAGACTGCAATACTGGCACTTCTTTTCTCTCTCCTTACTAAGCACAAACAAGTCTCTGTTGGTTTTCTATGTGATAAAATTCCTCCGAATTTTGGAAAGGCATGTGTCAGAACACACGTGCAGCCCAGCACAATGCCTTGCACAGCACACATTAAAAGAACATCAGGATAGGGACAAAACTCTTGGCTCACCACCCACTGCCACTTCACAGTTGTGGCTTCCAAAGCATTGCAACAGCAGCAGCCTTCTGGAATCTGAAAACTTTTTCTCACATGCCCCACAGCAGACATCTGCAACTGCTTGGGGCAGCTCTGCTTCCTGCGTCCCTGCTGGATGTGGCCCTTCACTTCATACAGGAGCAAACTGGAAGAGGTGACTGATGTGAGAGGGCAGGAAAAAACTAGGATTCCATTTTGTCTCTACAAAAGGTAATCAAAATAGAGAAGTCCATTTGATTTTAGGAAGTTGCATACTTTACAAATGGAAGTTGTAGTCTACAAAGGAAGGCAATTCATGCATATAGCAATATACAAAATTTGCAATTTTTTCACCTTTCTGGTATCTGTTATGGCTTTAACATTGCTTTGTAAATATGTCTGAAATCCTGGGGCTGCCCATGAGGCTCTCCACCTGTGTAAGACACTTTGCAATAGTACATCCTTTTGCAACACTACTCATAATTGGTTTTGTTGCTCCAAGGCAAAAGCTTTCACAACCAATGACAAGTGACTTTGAAATGACAAGTTGGGTATGGGCAAGATATTCCATGATAAAGGAAAAAAAGTGTTAAAATAAACTTGGCCATATACTGTACTGTTTGACAAGCAGCAATGGTGTAATCTGCCATGAAATATCA